GGAGAATCGCTTGAACCCGGGAGGTGGAGGTTGCAGTGAGCTGAGATCGCGCCTCCAGCCTGGGCAACAAGAACAAAACTCTATCTCAAAAAAAAAAAAAAAAAATTACTACCATCCCTAATTTTGTAGGATTTATAGGATGTAAGGAAATTATAAGGAGTCTTGTGAAAACAGTAATTACATTTGAATTAATTTTAATCCTTCAGTTATCTCCCATAAAGACACTGAGGACCTTTGAGTTTATTAAGACAGAGTAAATATATAAAAGTTTTGGGGAGTATGACCACACTGTCTTTTGTCTCTCAAGCATGGCCCAATTTTTTTTCCTTTCTTTCTTTTTTTTCTTTTTTTTTTTTTTTTTTTTGAGACTTGTCACCCAGGCTGGAGTCTAGTGGCGCCATCTTGGCTCGCTACAACCTCTGCCCCCCAGGTTCAAGCAGTTCTCCTGTCTCAGCCTTCTGAGTAGCTGGGACCACAGGCGTGTGCCACCATGCCCAGCTAATTTTTGTATTTTTAATGGAGATGGAGTTTCACCATGTTGGCCAGGCTGGCCTCGAACTCCCGACTTCATGTGATCCGCTCGCCTTGGTCTCCCAAAGTGCTGCCCAATTTTATAGTTACTCTAGCTATAGTAGATGTTTTCAGTTCAAAATTAGGAATGTAAGGTTATATTTTGTTACAAAAATCTTTTAAAATTTCATATGAAAACAGTTGTTTGGGGTAAAAGGAAGTTAATCCATAAAGAGGATTGTTACAGTGTCTAATATAAATAAAAGAACATTTGTGTAATCATGGGGATTCATTTTTTTTTCTCAACCCAATTAAAGATAAAAATTTGCTTGCCAGTTCAGATTTAGAATTGTAGACACAGTTAAAGTTTTTGATCTTGGGAGGGAATCTGAACTTTAGAAAACTTACAACATTCTTCTGCCTGGTATCCCTGTTATAATTTAATTTGATTGTCTTTTATTTATTTTTAATTATTAACACAAAAATTATATTTATGATGTATAATGTGATGTTTTGAAGTATACATTGTGGAATGGCTAAGTCAAATTAATTCACATTAAGTGATATACTGATTCTGACAAGAACACTTAAAATCTGCTCTCAGCAATTTTTCAATTATGTGATACATTGTTAACTATAGTCACCAGATTGTATAGATCCCTGGATTGCCTTTTAAAAGTGAGAGAACGTTCTGGATGAGTCTTTGGGCTCTGGTTTTATAAAACTAATATTAAACTGAACATAACAACATTTAAAACAAACATTTATTTTCCTCACACCTGTATATTTGATAGTTCCTTATAACTTTCTGTTTTAAGGGTGATAGGGATTGTTAAACAAAAATAAATAATTTGTGTTGCTGAAACTTGACTGAATTCTAGCTTGTTTATAATACCACCACTCTATGTTGTCTTTCCTTATACAGGTTGAGCACTCTTGATCCCAAAATCAAAAGTCCAAATGCTCCAAATTCTGAAACTTTGTTAGTGTTGACATTGATGTTACAAGTGGAAAATTACACACCTGACTTCATGTGATGGGTCACTATTAAAACTTTGTTTCATGCACAAAATTATTTAAAATAATGGTGTATAAAATTACCTTCAGTCTGTGTGAATAAGATGTGTAGGAAACATGAATGAATTTCATGTTTAGATTTGGGTCCCATCCCCAAGATACCTGATCATGTTTGTACAAATATTCCAAAATCTGAAACACTTCTGGTCCCAAGCATTTCAGATAAGAGATACTCAACCTGTATAAAGGGTGCAGTGTTTAAAGTAACTCAGTATGTTGGTTTCATATCAAGGAATAGATACAGTCTATATGCATGACGGTTACAAAAGTGAAAAGAGACCTGGCCTGCTGTTATGTACTAGGCAATTTATCTTCATTAACAGCTTTTCAAGTAGCCACTGAAGTTTTTGGATGATGATACTGAGATACAGAGGAAGGTTCTGCAGAAGAGCCTGAGTGGAAATGAGTATGGGGAAGTAGACAGGGTCTGAATTGATAGGAATGTGTATTCTGCAAAAGGTGACGGGGGAACCACTGAAGTGTGTTTTTTGTTAGTGTTTTGTTTTGTTTTTGTTTTTGTTTTTTGTCTTCGAGACGGAGTTTTCGTTCTTGTTGCCCAGGCTGGAGTGCAATGGCGCAATCTCGGCTTACTGTAAACTCCGCCTCCCGGGTTCAAGAGATTGTCCTGCCTCAGCCTCCTGAGTAGCTGAGATTACAGGGGTGCGCCACCATGCCCGGCTAATTTTGTATTTTTAGTAGAGATGGGTTTCTCCATGTTGGTCAGGCTGGTCTGGAACTCCCAACCTCAGGTGATTCACCTGCCTTGGCTGGGATTACAGGTGGGAGCCACTGTGCCTGGCCGCCATTAAAGGGTTTTTGAATGTTCACTGACTAGAGCTGGGTTTGGGTTGCTGCTGTAGTCATGGTGGTGAGCATAGCCAGCCATTGTAGGATTTGTTGCGCCTTTTTTTTTTTTGAGACAGGGTCTTTCTCTGTTGTCCAGGCTGGAGTTCAGTGGTGCAATCATAGCTCACTGCAGCTGCCAGGCCTCCAGCTCCTGGGCTGAAGTGATGCTCCTGTCTCAGCCTCTCAAGTAGCTGGGACCAGAGGCATCAACTTCCGTGTCCGGCCTCTTTTTTTTTCCCCCTGTTTCTGTTTTGAGACAATCTCACTCTGTCTCCCAGGCAGGAGTGCAGTGATGTTATTTCAGCTCACTGCAACCTCTGCCTCCTGTGCTCAAGCGATTCTCCTGCCTCAGCCCCCTGAGTAGCTGGGACTACAGGTTCACACCACCATGCCTGGCTAATTTTGTTTTGTTTTGTTTTCCTTTCTTTTTTTCTTTTTTCTTTTTTTGTAGAAACAGGGTTTCCCCATGTTGCCCAGGCTGGTCTGAAACTCCTGAGCTTCAGGCAATCTGCCCACCTTGGCCTCCCAAAGTGCTGGGGTTATAGGCATGAACCACTGTGCCTGCTGCACTTTTTTTTTTTTCTTGGTTTTCATCTTCTTCATTAAAATGTAATTTAGTTTTTTGAAAAAGTGTGTAATACTTGTTGTATTTTGAATCTTAAAAATAGCACATTTTATTTCTAAACAAAAATTTTAAAAAGTAGTTGAGTTAATACAGAACAGTCATAGATCATAATTAGAGCTGTTTTTGTTAAATATAGAGGGTTTTTTTGTTGTTGTTGGTTTGTTTTACCCTAAACAACCATGGTTCTGTGGTTTGGGCTTCACTCAGGTACTGAAGAATGAATATTGACCAGTTTTCTGCTGGAACAATCCTTTAGCAAGGCCCTCAGGTGTATTTCCCACATCTGATTTTAAGGAACTTTATAACCACAACTGGGTTATTTTACATTTAAGGACCTTTTTAAGCTATGCATTTAGCTGTTACTTTAAAAGCATTTAGATTAGATTTTGAAATTGTATAGGCCAGGCATGTTGACTCACACTTGTAATCCCAACACTTTGGTAGGCTGAGGTGGGAAGATCTGTTGAGGCCAGGAGTTTGAGACCAGCCTGGGCAACTTAGCCAGACCCTAGCTCTACAAAAAATAAAATTAGCTGGGCATGGTGGCATGTGCCTATTGTCCCTGCTACTCAGGAGACTGAGATGGGAGGATTGCTTGAGCCCAGGACGTTGAGGCTGCAGTGAGCCAGGATTGCATAACTACACTGCAGCCTTGGTGACAGATTGAGATCCTGTCTCAAAAAAAATGATAAATTTTTTTTAGTTTTATTTATATCAAGTTCTGTTTAAGAAGTAAATGCCCTAGAACACACCCTTAATATTCAGCTACAATGTCATCTAATTCTACCAATATAGAAATAATCATCTTTTAAAGTGGGATAATACTGAGTATATTACACAAGGTTTTTACACAAGCAGTACATCCTCAGTGTAGAAGTAATGGAAGATATGGAATAAATGCAATTAGGAAATAATCCCATAAGCTTGAAAGTGTAAACACTAGTAAATGCTTTGAATTACTCTAAAATAATTGGGCTATCATTAATATATGTTTGTGTTGCCAAATGTATTATAAAAAATAAGGCAAATTAGAATTGACATTATTCTGAAGTCTGATTATTTTAGTGCCAATAAGAGAGTTTTCTTTCTTTTTTTTTTTTTTTTTAGATAGAGTTTCACTCTTGTCGCCCAGGCTGGAGTGCAATGGTGCGATCTCGGCTCACTGCAACCTCCGCCTCCTGGGTTCAAGTGATTCTCCTGCCTCAGCCTCCCAAGTAGCTGGGATTACAGGCATGCGCCGCCATGCTCGGCTAATTTTGTAGTTTTAGTAGAGACGGGGTTTCACTATGTTGGTCAGGCGGGTCTTGAACTCCTGACCTCAAATGATCCACCCACCACGGCCTCCCAAAGTACTGGGATTACAGGCCAAGAAATTTTTTTTTGTTATTTTTTGTTATTTTTTTTTTTGAGGTGGAGTCTCGCTCTGTCGCCCAGGCTGGAGTGCAGTGGCCGGATCTCAGCTCACTGCAAGCTCCGCCTCCCGGGTTCACGCCATTCTCCTGCCTCAGCCTCCCAAGTAGCTGGGACTACAGGCGCCCACAACCGCGCCCGGCTAATTTTTTGTATTTTTAGTAGAGACGGGGTTTCACCGTGTTAGCCAGGATGGTTTCGATCTCCTGACCTCGTGATCTGCCTGTCTCGGCCTCCCAAAGTGCTAGGATTACAGGCTTGAGCCACCGCGCCCGGCCAAGAAATGTTTTTATGAGTAAAGTATGTGTGTGATGAAATGCACAGATCTGAAGTGTACAGTTTAATGAGCTTTAACAAATGTATACACCGAGGTAACCTCAGTCAAGATCTAGAACATTTTCATCACTCTAGAAAGTTCCCTCCTGTCCCTTCTAGTGGACTCAATCCCATAGACAACCATTGTTTAAAAAGTATATTGAACAAGTATTTTTGTTATATGAATATAATTATTACAACTCTTTTTAATTTATAGGGGATAAAAACACTCAGATGGCAGATCACAGGTAAGCCAAAGTGGACTTTGTTTATTGGAGTTTAAAATTCAGTTGGTGAGCAACAGCCAAGCCATATTTCAATAAATATTAGAATCAAAGTTAAATGCATTTCAGAGTCTAGCTGATGGCTCTTTTCTTGTGTATGTATTTGAGCACATAAAGAAATTACTTCAGACATGAACAGTGCCTCAGATGTTGATACTTACAGATCTTTTATGGAAAGCAATCATTTTGCTCTCCATGCTTTAACAAAACCCCTGGGGTGAAGTCAGGTAATTTTGACACTATCTTAACGGTCTGTAGTTGTCAGTGATCAAGTGGGAGATTTTGTTTTGTGGATTGAGGGTTACTTTTAGTTGTGTATATTGTTTGATGTTTATTTTTTATGAGGGAGTATGTCCAGGCATCTTTGAAAACTGTTTCATGGCTTATTTTACATGTGTTGTAACTAATTTTACAAAGCCACTTTGGACACTGTCTTAACTTCGTAAGACTGCCTTACTCTGTCTGATCACATGAGCTGCTGACCAAACAGTAACATGTTTGTTGGTTGACGGGTTTGGTTTGAGGGTTGGGAGCAGATTTTTTGAGGAAAGAAGCTATAGAAATGAAAGCTGTCTAAGAAGCTTTGGCTAAGGTTGGAAATAAGAACTTTGTAGGGCTTTATGTTTGGGAGACGAGGGGGGTGTTAAGTAGTAGAATATTTTTATAGCAGGGAGGACAGCCTCTGAGATGACACATGCACATTAGTAGTTGTCTTCTCAAATCTGACGTCACTGTAGAGATGCCTCTTAATATATTGAATAAGAAACGTCCATTTGTGCTACTTCTTTGGAGCTTTCTTGACAATGATACTTTTTAAACGTACCGTTGTTTTAGTTTTTCAGATGGGGTTCCTTCAGATTCCGTGGAAGCTGCTAAAAATGCAAGTAATACAGGTCAGTTCACTGCACATGGAGAGTTTGCATCCAGTATGGGGAATCTTCCTCTCTCTTGGAAACATTAATACAAGTAAAGGATTCCTTCCTGTACTTCAGTGGTTTTAGGAAAGCTAGAGTAATTAAAATGAAAAATCAGTATCTTATTAATAAAAGATTTATTTATTATAGGAATTCAGACTCTACAGTAGTAAAGAGAAGAATAGTACAGTCTACCTTATTTTTTTTTTTTTTTTTTTGAGACGGAGTCTCGCTGTGTCGCCCAGGCTGGAGTGCAGTGGCCGGATCTCAGCTCACTGCAAGCTCCGCCTCCCGGGTTTACGCCATTCTCCTGCCTCAGCCTCCCGAGTAGCTGGGACTACAGGCGCCCGCCACCTCGCCCGGCTAGTTTTTTGTATTTTTTAGTAGAGACCGGGTTTCACCGGGTTAGCCAGGATGGTCTCGATCTCCTTACCTCGTGATCTGCCCGTCTCGGCCTCCCAAAGTGCTGGGATTACAGGCTTGAGCCACCGTGCCCGGCCCAGTCTACCTTCTTGTACCTACCATCACTGAGCTTTAGTATTGATTAACAAATGACCAGTCTTTTTTCTTATTTTTGAGATGGAGCCTTGCTGTGTTACCCAGGCTGCTCTTGAACTCCTGGGCTTAAGCAATTTTCCTGCCTCAGCCTCCCAAGTAGTTGGGGCTGCAGGCACAGACCACTGCACCTGTCTTTTTTTTTTTTTTTTTTTTTTAATCTATACCCTTAACTTTCCTTCCTTTGGAAAGCAAATCCTAGGAATGTTATTTTGTTCATAAATTCGCAGATGTGATATCTTTCCCCCATTAAAAAAAAACCCTATATATCTGTACTCCCCACTCCCTCCAAACTGTTTGAAAGCAAGTGGTGGATATTTGTTTTCCTAAAACAATTTTACAGTGCCATTACCAAGAAACTTAGCATTGGAGCAATACCATTCTCTAATAGACAGTCATGCTCCTGTTTTCCCTGGTTTTCTCAGCAATTTTTACCCCACCCCCAAATCTAGCACCTACTCAAAGATCATGCGTTTTGTTTTGTTCTAGAGTCATCTCCCTACCTTTTGTATCTTTTATTAATACATCAACACAGCAGCGCTCTGGGCCACTGTGGTCTTATAGAGTGCTCACAGTCTGGATTTGCCCAGTCGTTTCTTCCTGATGAGATTCAGGGTAAACATTTGGCAAGAAGGGCACACAGGTGACATGATGCAGTGGTCATTGCTTCCGGAGGCACAGTATGTTGGCTCGGCACCTGTCTGGGGACATTGTGATTGATTAAGACAATGCCTGCCAAACTTCTCTGTTACCAAGGTCCTTTCACCTTGGAAGCAATCTGTCAGGCACGTGTAGATATCCTCTTCTTTTTCAGCAAACTTTCACACAGTGGTTTTAGCACCCATTGATGTGTGTTTGTATATGCATGTAGTATTTACATACTATACATGTGTATACAATTTTATATATACAAATTATGTACCTTAAATATACTTCACGTGCTTCATGTTAGTGGTTGTGTTTGCAGTTCTGTTATAAATGTTTAAAATTGAGTGCCTACTTGGTGTGTTTGACTTACCCACATCATGGGAGAATACTCGGGATGGGAGAATACTTGGGTATGTACTGGCTCTAAGCAAGGGAAGGGCGCTAGGTTTGGGTTTCTATATTGTATCATTAAGAGGGAAATTGTTAAGAGTCTGTGTCATGAGCCAGATGTCTGCCACTCCTTAGTCACACAGCTGGGTAGAAGGACAGTCACTACCCTCTCAGGATCTCATTCATTGGTTTATTGGGAAATGGGCTTCTAAATACAAACATCTCGAGATTGTGAGCTCACTACACATGTAGGTTAGCAGTAAGTGGGGTGGAATGGTCAGAAGTACTTCCTGGAACGAGATGGGCTTAGGCAGAAGAACATTCAAGGCAGAGGCGAGAAGCACATGCAAAGAAAACTTAGGAAACAGTGCCGTCAGGGAGCTAGTGAGCCTTGGGCTCTCCTGGACTGTGAAGGCCGTGGCACCACAGTGAGCGAGGGAACTGGTGGATGCTCTTTCACTTTGAAAAACTGATCTCATCTCTGTTCTTGGCTTCTGGACACCACACTGGGACTTGGGGGTAGACCATGTGAACTTCCATTAATGATGTCCTCAATTGTTTAAGCCTGGGGGTTAAACAGCCGCAGTCCTGGTGAGAACCAGGACTCTCTAGGTATTTATTCAGTAAATTTGTAACTACCCATCAGGTGATTAACCTAGAGTATTAAATGCTCTTAAAATAAATTTTAATTATTTTCAAAACGTGTTTTAGAAGTCACTGGTATGTGTATTTAGAAATTAGTAGATGTAAATCTAGGCAAAGCTAAGTAGATATGTTACTCATTTTTGACTCTTGGCTATTGTGTGTGGTGGGCATATTTTAAATATGTTTGGTCTTAACTCTTCATAGAAAAGCTCACAGATCAGGTGATGCAGAATCCTCGAGTTTTGGCAGCTTTACAGGAGCGACTTGACAGTGTCCCCCACACCCCTTCCAGCTACATCGAAACGTAAGTGTGCTGTGAATCGGGTCTCATGCAATTTGGAGAAACAAAAGGAAAACAAAGGAAGAAACTGTTTTTCAGTTCCTCAAAACAGGAATAAATGTTTTTTTTTCATTCCAAGACATCGTCTGTGAGAGACAGGCACTGGGATATGAGAAGAATGACCCTACCCGGTGCTTAGTCTCAGAGTTTGCCTGGTGGACGGAAGAGAGTGACCTGTCAGTTTCTGATAGGAAGTGCACAGTGCCATCCTGTGGAGGGCTAGAGGACTTCACGGATCAGCCGAGTTGGGGAGGACAACTGGTGGCTCCTACATTAAACTAAGAGAACCGCTCCTTCCTGACTTACCCACATGAGCCTGTGACACCAACACCTTAAAAAAAAAAAAAAAAAAAAATGGGCATAGTACCAAATACCTGTGAGTTTTCACTACCCTCCAGCCTGGGTGACAGTGAGACTGTCTTTTTAAAAAAAAAAAAAAAAAGAAAAAAAAGTTAGAATCTTGCTATATTGCCTAGGCTGGTTTTGGTTTTGAACTCCTGGGCTTAATTGGTTCTCCTGCCTCAGCCTCCCAAAATGCTGGGATAACGAGTGAGCCATTGCACCTGGTTGACACCTTTCCTTTTTTTTTTTTTTTTTTGGAGACGGAGTCTGCTCTGTCGCCCAGCCTGGAGTGCAGTGGCCGGATCTCAGCTCACTGCAAGCTCCGCCTCCCGGGTTTACGCCATTCTCCTGCCTCAGCCTCCCGAGTAGCTGGGACTACAGGCGCCCGCCACCTCGCCCGGCTAGTTTTTTGTATTTTTTAGTAGAGACCGGGTTTCACCCGGTTAGCCAGGATGGTCTCGATCTCCTTACCTCGTGATCTGCCCGTCTCGGCCTCCCAAAGTGCTGGGATTACAGGCTTGAGCCACCGCGCCTGGCCTGACACCTTTCCTTTCTTATGAGAGTCTTATGTCCTAAATGTATTGCACTATGAAAATGATAAGGATGGTGATCCTAAAATCCTAGGATGGCTCTTGTCAGGACCTCCCTGTCTTACTTCTGGAAGGAATTTTTGGTTTTTGAGTTGGAGTCTCACTTTGTTGCCCAGGCTGAAGTGCAGTGGCATGTAATAGCTCATTGTAACCTTGAACTTCTGAGTTCAAGTAATCCTTCTACCTCAGCCTTCAGAGTAGCTGGAACTATAAGCATGTATCACCATACCATGCCTGGCAATTTTTTTTTTTTTGAAAGGGATGAGCTGTTACTGGGCTTCCATCTGTAATCGAGTCAAGGCTTGGTCTCCCAGGAGGCCCCACCTTCCAACTGGTTTCCCCGCTATTATGACAAGAAGGGGACCTTTATTTTTTATTTTTATTTTTTGAGACAGAGTCTCGCTCTGTCACCCAGGCTGGAGTGCGGTAACTTGGGATCTCAACAACTTCCGCCTTCCAGTTTCAAGTGATTCTCCTGCCTCAGTCTCCCGAGTAGCTGGAATTACAGGTGCACGCCACCACGCCCAGCTAATTTTTTGTATTTTTATTGTTCTGGGGTAGATATGCTGAACGTGCAGGTTTGTTACATAGGTATACATGTGCCATGGAGATTTGCTGCACGTGTTTTTTTTGTATTTTTAGTAGAGACAGGGTTTCGCCATGTTGGCCGGGCTGATCTCTAACTCCTGACCTCAGGTGATCTGCCCACCTTGGCCCCCCAAAGTGCTGGGATTACAGGCATGAGCCACAGCGCCCAGCCTAGAAGGGGACATTTAGAGTTTGCTTTGCCCATTTAGAAGCTTCTTGGGGATTACTTAGTGGGCCAGGTTTTTTGATTTTTTTTTTTGCAGACTACATTGATGGGATGGAGTGATACTGTGTAGGAGTGGCAAGAATTGAGAATGAGTAATGGTTTCTAGTTTTCTCGCTTTAGAAACTGGGTTGGTGGGGTGGCATTCTGTGAGAGGAACTGCTTGAGTGGGAACAAGTTTATGTGAGACTAGAAGTGGTTCCATATTGGCCATATTGCAGGAAAAGTGCCCGCAGATGGCTGGGTGTAGTTGGTATGAATGATTGAAGGACTGCTAGGGGCACACTAGGGTCCAGTTTGTTTAACATCCTTTGTCATTTTACTTCAGTTGGAAAGCTTCAAAAATTAAACTAATTTAAAATTGTATAATTAGCCAGGCGTGGTAGCTCACACCTGTAATCCTAGCACTTTGGGAGGCCAAGGCAGGCAGATCGTTTGAGCCCAGAAGTTCAAGACCAGCCTGGGCAACATGGTCAAACCCCATCTCTACAGGATGCAAAAAAACTAGCTGGGCATGGCTATGTGCCCCTGTAGTCCAGCTACTCGGAATGCTGAGGTGGGAGGATCATTTGAGCCCAGAAAGTTGAGGTTGTAGTGAGCCGAGATGGCACCACTGCACTGCAGCCTGGGCAACAGAGTGAGATCCTATCACAGTAAATGAATGAATGAATGAATGAATGATCAGTGCTGAAAAGAGGTACAAGTGGCAGTGGGAGTCTATGATTTTGTTAAATTCTTTTTGCTTTTCCCTTGTTCTCATCTACTACTAGCAGTAGTTCTAGAATGTTAAGCATTATTTGAGAGTCTAAACTAAGGACCTTTAGCTTGAGGTAACTGTGATTATATTTCACCCAGGAGAGTGGTCCTTTGGGATGCAAGGCAGTTGTTCTAATACCTCCCAGACCAGTGATATGTGTGTGTGAATTGCCTGCTGCTCTGTGCTGTGTGGTGTTGGAGGATAAGTCAAGTGCTTAGACTTGAGAACTCTGATCGTGTGAATGGGTATCTAAGATTCAGGACCCAGGGCCCTGCCCCAGGTAGATTATTTGGGTCTATGATGAGGCCGGGAATCTGCTGTTCAGTCCACATGATTATGACCAGGGGCTTTGCTTTAAGCAAATAGTTTTGATAGGTTAAACAGGGATTTTTCTTCTGATTTATAGAAGTTATACATACAAACTAAAATATTTTTTAAAACATAGAACAGGATTGAGCAAACTCATAGTTGACCTGACTCTCAAGGACAAAGTTGTGTTGCCTGTGGTCTGTGTTTCTCAGATTTTTCCTCCAGTGTGTTAACAAGTATGGACTCCCACGTGGCACTAAATATTCCTGTACAATGTGATTATAAATAGGCCATATTTGAATACCGTTGAACTTCCATTGTCCAGTTTTTCACTTGTACGGATCTATCGATGGACAATCCAGCATAAATACTTGATTAGGATAAATTTTTTTTTCCTTTTGGTAAGATAGGGTCTTGCTCTGTTTCCCAAGCTGGAGTGCGGTAGCACAATCATAGCTCCCTGCTGCCTTGACCTCCCAGACTCAAGTGATCCTCCCACTTCAGCTTCCTGAGTAGCTGGGACTACAGGGGCACACTTGGCTAATTTTTTAAATTTTTTGTAGTGAGGGGTCTTGCTATATTGCTCAGGCTGGTCTTGTAGTCCTGCCCTCAAGCCGTCCTCCCACCTTGGCCTCCCAGAGTGGTGGGATTACAGGCATGAGCCACTGCACCCAGCCTTAAGGATAAATTCTTAGAAGTGGAATTACTGGGTCCAAAGAACACTTTCAGTATTTCTGCCCTTAAGAAAGATGAGTCAGAGGGCTTCTTGACCCTTAGCCTCGTAAAACCTAGGTGTTTTGTTTTGGTTTTTAATTGCCAATTTGGTAAGGAAAAGATGAGCATTCTTAAATGTTTGCATTCTTTTGGATATTTTATGAGATTGAATCTTTCTTCATGTTTGACAATTTGTGTTTTTTCTTTTGTGAATTATCTTTTCTGCCTCCTGTATCCTTTTTTTCCTATTGGGGTATTTGTCCTTTTCCTAATTTTTAAGAGGTCTTGTTCATTATGTTAATTCCATGTTAACCTAAATTTATTTTAATAAAATTGAAAAGCATGGTGCCTTATTTTGCAGGCATGAGGATGTTGTATTTCTTACTCCTTTTTTTTTAGTTTACCTAAAGCAGTAAAAAGAAGAATTAATGCATTGAAACAACTTCAGGTGAGATGTGCTCACATAGAAGCCAAGTTCTATGAAGAGGTACATGACTTGGAAAGAAAGTATGCAGCACTATACCAGCCTCTTTTTGACAAGGTAGGGAACTCTCTTAACGAATTTAATATACAGATAGTCTTCAACTTACGACGGTGTTAGGTTGTGATAAACCCATTATAAGTTGACAACATCTAGGGTAAGAACGCATCTAAGCTACCAAACATAGCTTAGTCTAGACTACCTTAAATAAGCTCAGAACACTTACATGAGCCTGCAGTCAGGCAAAATCATCTTCCACAAAGCCTATTTTATAATAAAGTGCTGAGTATCTCATGTAATGTATTGAACACTACACAGAGAGTGGAACAGAGTGTGGCTGTATTGGTACTCAAAGTGTGATGGCTTCTGCACCATCATGAAGTTGAAAATCTTTAGTTGAGCCATTGGAAATCAGGGACCGCCTTTATTTTAGATCTTTAGGTGAAACATCCAGATTTACCCAGGAAATCATTTAATATTTTTCTTTGAACCCTAAAATTTAGAATCTTAAAATAAGTTATAAAAATACCCAGTTTTCAAAGTCTTTTTGTAGACATTATTTATAAATTTAACTCTTGAGTTTCCAAGTAAGCTAATAACACAATTCTAATAAGGTCTCATTTTTATGTAGAGAAGAGAATTTATCACCGGTGATGTTGAACCAACAGATGCGGAATCGGAATGGCACAGTGAAAATGAAGAGGAAGAGAAATTGGCTGTAAGTCTTTTGAAAAATGTGACTTATGTTCTGTTTTAATACTATTAAAAATAAGCATTTTTTAATGATTTTTAATGACTAGTAAACTTACGTGCTTCTAGCAGTAGGTGCTGCTGCATCATTAGGTTGGGTTTAGATTCCTTTCTGATACTGATCTAGCATCTGGCACAGTACTGTCAGTTCATAGGAGGAGTAAGATGTAGTGCCATGTCAGTTATCTGTGGACAGGAGCATATTGAAATAAAGGATCAGACAATAAAGATTAAAACATCAGAGAAAGCAAAGATCAAGAAGAAATACCCCTGTGTTCTCAGTCACTGGAATATTGGGGGAGTTGTGAGGGGAGTGCCTTCCTGCTCAGTGGCGTGGACTAGCGTGCTCCCTGACAGGTGCTCAGCCAGTGGATTGGTTGCGTATGGTGGTTGTGGTATGGCCGTCAGTTACCTGCTCACAGCCGTGAAAGCTCCCAGTGTCAGCCTGATTTTATGTTTGGGAGACAAGTAACTTTTATCCTATAACTAACTTTTGGCATGGTTTTTTTTTTTTTTTTTTTTTTTAAGGTATATGATAATTTTGGTAGCCTTATGTGTTTTTTGATCTTTTTAAAATATGTAGAACCTGGCCAAATTGAAGCCATGGCTGTGGATTGATACAGTTGTGAATCAGCTTCTAACAGCTCAAGGAAATCTGCCTTCGCTAATTTAAAAGGCCTATGAGATCATTTCATCATAACAATCCCATTTGGCAAGGCATTCAGAATCTCCCATAGTTCCATTTAGTGTTATGTTTTACCTCCCTTGGTCTACCTTTTCCCTGGGGCCTGATGTTATAAGACTCCCCTTCACTTTACCATGTACCCTTTCTGATCACTTTCTGATGCTTGCGTTATGTCCATGAACCAGCATTTATAGCCACCTGCTTAAAGCTGGATAAGTTGCTGAGCACTTTCTTGCTGCAGATACTGCTGCAGCAAATTTTTTTTTTTTTTTTTTACTTCAACTTACTGCCCCTACCCCACAAATTTTAACCAGAGGTCAGATTATTAGTCCAAGTGAACTTACTGATCCTTGGACTGGACTTTTTTTTCCCAGTGATAGATGTTCTGCATATTTGCATTCCATTTCCTTAAGGTTGATGTACAGTCTTTGCATCTGCATTTGTGATGATGATTGTCTCAGGATGGCACCTCACAGAGTTAGCACTGGATGACCTTTCCCAGAGTTGGTGGCACTTTGTCATCTCTTCAGTTTCTTCGCCTTTGATGTGAAATCATAAGGAATTCCATGTGGATATAACGCCTTGACTGCTTTTTTCCCTCGGAAGCATCTGAGAAGTGTTGCATGGCACAGTGAATGGTTTGGAGATGCAGACTCTGAAAGAAAGGTTTTTGATCGGAGATAATACAGGATTTGGAAATGGTACTCTACATTAAGCCACTGCGTTATTTTTAAATTTGTATTTTTTGCGATCTTTTTGCATCTTTATTTTTTTTAGGGAGACATGAAAAATAAAGTAGTCATAACAGAAAAAGAAGCAGCAACAGCTGAAGAGCCAAATCCCAAAGGAATTCCAGAGTTCTGGTTTACCATCTTTAGAAATGTAGATATGCTAAGTGAATTAGTCCAGGTAAGCACATTTCTATCTTATAGAGAGATTATGTGGTAGTCTTCTAACATTACTTATCTATGGCATTTTTTAAAGCACTAAACTGGGCGTTGAAAGGTTGTTCATAGTGGGCGGAAGGGCACTTTCTGTGACCAGGACCTAAGGTGAGCAGTCCTGATCTCACAGTGAATGGTTTATTCACAGTGGGGCTTCCACGCTGTCTTTTGCAGTTCTTGGTGGAAAGCCAGGCAGCTCAGCCTGATCCAAAACTTTCAAATCAATTCCTTTTACCTCCTGTAAACGTCTGTTGTCTCGCCTGTGAATAGATTCAAGAGCGCATCTGTGTCTTACTGTGGTGTGAGTGCGCAGGAAAGGGTGAGGGCGGGAGACCAGAGTAGGAGAATGAATTTTGAAGGGATAAGTTCTGTGTGTGTGTATACACACACACATCCCAGTGAATTTTTGAACAAGTTGCTAATATTTTCTGATCATTTCTCTTGAAAAGTGTGTATTTTAAAATAAGAAGGACGCCGGGCGCGGTGGCTCACGCCTGTAATCCCAGCACTTTGGGAGGCCGAGACGGGCGGATCACAAGGTCAGGAGATCGAGACCATCCTGGCTAACACGGTGAAACCCCGTCTCTACTAAAAGTACAAAAAAAACTAGCCGGGCGAGGTGGCGGGCGCCTGTAGTCCCAGCTACTCGGGAGGCTGAGGTTGGAGAATGGCGTAAACCCAGGAGGCAGAGCTTGTAGTGAGCCGAGTTCGCGCCACTGCACCCCAGCCTGGGTGACAGAGCAAAGACTCCGTCTCAAAAAAAAAAAAAAAAAAAGAAGGCCAGGCATGGTAGCTCATGTCTGTAGCCCCAGCACTTTGGGAGGCTGAGGTAGGCAGATTGTTTAAGACCAGCGTGGGCAGCATGGCGAAATCCCATCTCTACAAAAAATACAGAAGTTAGCCGGGCATTGTGTTGTGCACCTGTGGTCCCAGGTACTTGGGAGGCTGAGGCAGGAGGATCACCTGAGCCCAGGAGGTCGAGGCTGTGGTAAGCCATGATCATGGCGCTACACTTCATCCTGGTGGGTGACAGAGTGAGACCCTGTCTCAAAAAAAAAAAAAAAACAAAACCAACCAACATTTCTGATTTTGTCTTGCCTTGACATTTTACTTTCTACAGTGAAATGGTGAACAAATTAAAAGGTGACAAATTTGGTTTTCCCTGAAATTAGTTATAATAGAAGTTTCTACAACACAGAAACAAATCTTGCCTTAAGTCTCACTGACTGACTTGCTGTCAGTTTTTATTGCTCCAGAGTCCCCAGAAACAGTACATCTACATTCACACTTGCTCAGGACAGCTCCAGGCTCTGCTTGTGTGGGCAGAGTGCTTCTCCCATCACAGAGCATAGCCACTGTCTGTTGTCCTTTACAAACTGCTGTATTGTAATTTGCACGGGATTTTACAGCTACGTTTTTTAATGGTTTTCACAAATGTATCACATTGCTGCCTCTGCTACCTCCCTTGTTTCATGCTTATCCTGTGTCCTAAGCCAAAACTTGAGAATTCAAGATGGAAAGAATGATGTATTTCTTATTCTCCTTCCAGAGCAGAAAGCATCTAAAATAGAACAGCCTTGGTTTTTCCTGATCTGAGCTTCCTTTTTATATGAAAAGGTGGAATTTACGAAGACTAGACCATACTTTTAAAAGAATGCCATGCACCAGAATTTCATTGGAAAAATTAAGTAATGTGTACCAGAGCCGTAGTCTCACCCTGACTGTGTATTACAATCACCTGAGCAGCTTTAAAAACTAAATAGCAAAAACTGAATGCCTCATCTGTCACCACGGCACTGAGAGTTTTGAGGTGGTTTTAGGAACTCTGATATGCATGCTGAGAGTTGAAAATCCCCATGGTAGGGAGCAGGTGGAAAGACTAGCTCTTAGGTTAGTTCTTCTCAGACTTCGGGGGGCATGGGGAGTGGCCATGGCAGTGCAGATTCTGGTTCTGTGGGGCTGCCTGTCTCGTGGGCCCCAGGGTGATGCTCATGCTGCAGGGTTGGAGCATCTTCACGTGGGATTGGGGGTGCAGTGATAACAGGGTTTGGGAGCAAGAGTTAGGTGACTTGAGTGAGTTTTGGTGTCCCCTTCTGTGCATGTGGCCACCTGGTTATGGCATTGGGGTCACTGGCCATGGATAGCGCTGCCTTGGGTTTTGAGAGCACAGTGAGGCATTTGGCCACATTTTAATGGGGTGTCCCTTCTCATTCTCCCAGCACCTCTGTATTAGTGTCAGTGCTTCAGCATTTCAGCCAAGAGGTGTCTTGTTGCTTTTTGTTTTAAAAGCTTTAAAAAGATATGCAGGGGTTGATAGAGTACTCATTTAATATGCAGAAAATGAGGAAATGTTATTTGTACTGTTTGTAACCTCATAGCAGGTAACGGTAGCATGTTCTATTTTGATTTTTTAACACTTTTTTTTTTTTTTTACGGAGTCTTGCTCTGTTGCCCAGGCTGGAGTGCAGTGGCATGTTCTCAGCTCGCTGCAAGCTCCGCCTTCCGGGTTCACGCCATTCTTCTGCCTCAGCCTCCCGAGTATCTGGGACTACAGGTACCCGCCACCATGCCCGGCTAATTTTTTGTATTTTTAGTAGAGACGAGGTTTCACCATGTTAGCCAAGATAGTCTCGATCTCCTGACCTCATGATCCCGTCCGCCTCAGCCTCCCAAAGTGCTGGGATTACAGGCGTGAGCCACTGCGCCCGGCCAACAATTATGTTTTAATGTCTGGTGTTGGAGTCTGCCATTTCTGAGAGAATCCTTTTCCTTTTTAAGGGACGTGGTCTTGCTATGATACCCAGCCTAGAGGTCAGTGGCTTTTCATAGGCACAGTCAGTGCACTGCTGTCTCAGTCTCTTAGCCTCAAGTGGTCCTCCCAAGTAACTGGGACTGCAGGTGTGCGCCACTGTGCCCAGCTCATTTTGGTCAAATATTAAATTCCAAAGTTGGATTAACTCTGAATCCCTTTGTTCTAAATTTGGGGATAGTTGAAATATATTCCTTCAAGTAGAGTGGAAAATTTGAGATGGCGGCTTTATGATCTGAGTGTGATGCTTCCAGTGTTGTTTGTGTCTTTGCTTCCTGAGTCTTGAGTGTCTGCCAGTGTGGGGCATTGCCTTATATCTGCCCTGGACATTTAAATTTTGACCCACAGGGTACATGGCTGCTTGAGGAAATTAGAACATAATGGTTATTTTATGAAGTTTGGGAAAACATCAGTGGGCACTGCGTCTTTGAGTGGGATGAGTTTGAAGTTCCCAGTGCCATCTCTGGAAAGCATGCTGGTGAAGGTGTTCATCTTGGTGATCGAGAGCCAGTGCATGCCTCCATGGGTGGCACGCGCAGTGTTGGAGACTGAACATCGCATGCAGGTGTGGCCCATTTCGCAACTGCCTTTGGGTTACTTTTTGTCTAAATACTTGCAGGTATCTTTTTGTCGCTGTTTTTGTTTTTTCTATAATGTCAAAAGAGTTGAAAATTAGGACTCACTTAATGGAAAGTCAGGCACAGAAAGGGAAATACCTCATGTTCACACTCATGAGGGAGCTACAAAAACAGCTTACCGAAGCAGAGTTGTTAAAGGCTTAGAGGGAGAGAGAGAGGGGAGAACAAACAGGGACAGGTCCGTTATTGGATACAGAGTCACTGCTAGATTGGAGGAGTAAGTTCCGGTGTTTTGTAGCACTGTAGGGTGAATGTGGCTAACGATAATTTAGTGTGTATTTTCAGAAAGCTAGAGGACGGGTTTTGAATGTTCAAAAATAAATGAGGTGATGGTCCTGATTTATTACACATTGTATATGTGCATCAAAATGTCACTGTGTCCCATAAATTAGTACAGTTGTTACATAGAACTAAAAAAGGGAAAAAATGATTTAAGAAAAACTTAATGGAACTTCAAGACATTTTGAGGTTCAGTGCCCAGACTTCGGGGGTAAAGAAGCGACTGTAATGTTACAAACGAAGCACCTGCTGCCAGTGCGTGTTTATGAGGATTCAGGTCTTTCCATTCCTCTTCTGACTTTCCTCACTTGAACCTTCTAAGCTGACAGGTATCAGCAAACTCTGAGTTTGAAGAAATACCACTTGTAAAATGATACAGACAGATAAGAATTGTACGCTCTTCCATGGTGCCTGCAAGTTAGATCTCAGACACGCTCTGTGTAACTGTCCTTAAAGAAGTTACCGCGTGTGGCTGGGCGCGGTGGCTCATGCCGGTAATCCCAGCACTTTGGGAGGCCGAGGCGGGTGGATCACGAGGTCAGGAGATCGAGACCATCCTGGCTAACACGGTGAAACCTCATCTCTACTAAAAATACAAAAAATTAGCCGGGCGTGGTGGCGGGCACCCGTAGTCCCAGCTACTCAGGATGCTGAGGCAGGAGAATGGAATGAACCTGGGAGGCAGAGCTTGCAGTGAGCTGAGATTGCGCCGTTGCACTCCAGCCTGGGTGACAGAGCAAGACTCTGTCTCAAAAAAAAAATAAAGAAGTGACCGTCTGTATAGTGAATTTTGGATACAGTCATGAGCCACATAACACATTTTGGTCACAACAGACTGCATATAGGATGGCGGTCCTGTAAGATTATGATACCATATTCTTACTGTACGTTCTCTGTGTTTAGATACACAAATAATTACCATCACTAGCTGCTTCCAGTATTCAGTACAGTCACAAGCTGTACAGGTTTGTAGTGTAGGAGCAGTAGTGGATAGTAGGCTGCACTGTCTAGGTTTGTGTAAGTATGCTCTGATGATTGCATGCCGAATTGCCTAATGGTGTGTTTCTCAGGAGGTGCCCCCATTGTTAAGGCATGCACAACTTTATTGCCGCAGGTGGGGAAGCTGGTTGCCACGGCTGTAGCTGATCTAGCCTTCTCTTCTGACTTCCAGGCTTCTGCTCTGTCTCCTCAGCAGTCTTGGTTGGTAGCATTTCTGATCTCTGTGTGCAGTGGCAGCTGGTGGCAGGAAAGCAGTGAAGGCCCTTGCCCCAGTATTGCAGGCAGGCGGGTGTCAGTGGCACTGCCCTTCGCTGTCAGTGACACCCACCGTTGCTCCACACTAGGGAAAGGGGACACCTTGGTGCTGCTTTTCTATGACGGGGAGTTGGTGAATAAGTTTGGGTTTCTTCCTGATAGTTATTACTTGACAAGGACAGAATTCCAGTAGGGCTAGTTATGCAGCATCTGGGAGCCCATGCAGCCATGACGCTTGGGGAGAGATGTGCTGTTTTTTAAAAGCCGATTGGAATTTTTTTTCTCTTTTTGATTAGGAATATGATGAACCAATCTTGAAACACCTGCAGGATATTAAAGTGAAGTTTTCTGACCCTGGACAGCCTATGGTGAGTACTGACTTGACCTTCTGGTTGGCATCAGAGTCAGTCCACAAAGATGGAAAAACTTGGAGCCAGGGGCAAGAAACCCGCAAAACCCACACTTAGCCACTCATCTGCTGGGCAGCGCTGGGCAAGACAGCTCTCCAAGAGTTAGACTGAGTACCGCATTGTCTCTTTGCTCCCTGAGAGTTAGACGGGATCCCATTGCCTTTCTGTCTCGTGCTTGGCACTGTAGTCGTGAGTCTCTGCTGGATGATTTGACAGTGATGCCGACCATGTGATGTTCCAGACCCTACAGCCAGGTGGGCACCAACGCAGGAGTCAGACTGCAACTCCTGGGCTGTGGTGGTGCTGTCCACTGTGCCTGCCCTCGGTCTTGTAGTTTGTTTGTTTACTCGGTTGGTTGGAGATGATACCGTTCTTTTCCCAAGTGTCTCTCAAGTTTGCATGCATCTAATGTGTATTTTTAACGTTTAAAAAGATGGGAGCTATGTACACATATGAACAGCACTTATTCGAAAATCTGAACCTACTAGGTTTTACCCTAAAAAAAAAGGCACAAAGACTGAAAAATGTTTTCCTGCTCTTTGATTTGTCCTGAAACAAATCTTTCCAATAAACTTGCTTTGGTGTATCATTGCAGTAGTAATGTTAGTGGCATGGATCAGCCTGCCAGTTGGTAAGACAAGCTTGACTAGGTCAGCCCTTACTTTTATCTGAGGAAACATGCTCATCTTCAGATAGCCTCCCCAGGCTGTCTCATCCTAGCCTGGTTCTCCCAGGGAGCACTGTTCGTTAACCTGTTAGCCTGGCTGTAGCTAATGGGTTCCATTCCAGTGCAATAGCATTTCCAGCGACACATGACTGACTGACTGGTGGCTTTCAGTTTCAGGTCTTGGAGACAAATACTGCATGACAGGCTGTGGGTTAGGGATCTTGCGGATGGGTGATGGTGGTAGGGACCTGGGACCAGTCAGCAGTGTCTTCCTTCCTCCCCATCTCAGCACTGGGGCCCAGGCTAATGGATGAGGGCCACTAGGAGTGGGATTTCTTCAGTATTGGGGCCCGGGCTAATGGACGAGGGCCACTAGGAGTAGAATTTCTTCACTGCAAGTGCTGCAAGTAATGCCTGGGGCAGCGGCAGGGGCAGGCAGTGGATCCACCTGTATCTGTCCCTTCTACTTTTTCCTGTTCCTGTCTGTTTTCCACTATGGAAGGTGATATTCGGGTGTCTCTCTCCAGGTGGGGCACTGGGAGTCAGGAGTGATGCCTGCTCACCAGCTAGGGGCTGCCTCCAGAGGGGACACCCCATCTTCCCTGTCCCATGTGGGTCATAGCAGGTCCTTCTTCCTGGGCTTGCATCTCTTCTGTTTAGACTTTATCACAGGGCCCCCAGGAGCCGCCTGGGCACGTCTGCCTAGTTTGCCCTCATTGGTGTGCATTCTCTTCCCCATGGTGTGAGTGTGTGGTGCTTTAAGGTTCTGTGTGTGTTTTCCTTGTACTTAATTCATCCAGACTCAATTAACTTTTTTTCTCCTTTGGGTTAGTTCCTTTTTTTCCCCTTTCTTTTCTTTTCTTTTTATTATTACTATTTTTTGAGACGGAGTCTCACTCTGTCGCCAGGCTGGAGTGCAGTGCTATGATCTCAGCTCACTGCAACCTCCGCCTCCCGAGTTCAAGCTATTCTCCTGCCTCAGCCTCCCGAGTAGCTGGGATTACAGGTGTGCGCCACCACGCGCAGCTGATTTTTGTATTTTTAGTAGAGACAGGATTTTACCACATTGGCAAGGATGGTCTCAATCTCTTGACCTCGTGATCTGCTCACCTCAGCCTCCCAAATGCTGGGATTACAGGCGTGAGCCCCCACACCCGGCCTCTTTTTTCTTATTGGACACCTGTTTGATGATTTCCTAGGTCAATTTTCTTTCTTTCTTAGCCTGTCATCTTCTTTTCCTCCATCTCATGGTGACTCATAGACTAGAGCTCTGGTTGTGGTAGACTGTGGACCAGTAATCTTTTTTTCTTTTTACTTCCCTATTATTAAAGTCATATGTAGAAAATACGGGCAAGTGTAAAGAACACCATACAAATCTGATTTTTATAAGTAAATAACAGCAGCTTAGTGAGTTTCCCCATACTCTTTTTCCTTTGTAAAATTATTATGAAGCATCTGAGGCATTTTAAGTTATAAAGAGAAATAAAACTTCAAAATGAGTCTTGGCTGGTGTTTTTGCAGCTCCCCACCATGCCTCATTCCCTTCCCTTGAGCACTTGCCCACCTGGACACACAGTGCACACGTGTGCCACATGGCTCCTGCCACACCACATGGTGTGTGCACAGTGTCACCCTGCTGTCACATCACACAGGCTTGGCTGGGGGAATAGTTGTTACTGCCGCCATTGGCTATAAAATGTTTTAACATTCCCCTGCATGCACCACCTCCCCCATTGTAAATTGTTGCATTATGATCAGCATACTTGAACCCAAATTTGTGTTAAATTAAATGTTTGTTAATTTATTTAGTTTAGATTCCTTTCAGTATACTTACTGAGTGAAAGAAGATGAAGCTTTAGAAGGCCCAAAGGTCGTTCAGTTGGGATTACAGGCATGAGCCACCTAGGCCCTGCTAATTTTACATTTCTTTAGTTGCTTGTAAGATTGAGCGTGGTTAGCATATTTGTGGCTTGCCTGACTGTAGTGCATGTGTGAATTAAGCAATCTTATCTTCAAGCCACTTTTCATTTGGGCAGTTAAACACTTTCTTGAATCATCTTCAGTTGTCTTTGGGTTACTCTTGACTGAACAAAGTCAGAGGGGAGAGAAAAAAGGAAAATAGGAAGAAATATGAATCTATCTATAGAAAAGTAGGCTGGGTGTGGTAGCTCATGCCTGTAATCCCAGCACTTTAGGAGGCCAAGGTGGAGGATTGCTCGAGCCCGGGAGTTCGAGACCAGCCTGGGCAACATAGAGAGAACTGGTCTTTAAAAGAGAAAGTAAAAAGGAGGGGAAAAATGAGTAGGACATGGTGAAGGACCACAAGTCTAATAATATTATTTGTATTATTGGGGTCATCCCATGCCCTGGGTTGGTTGTCCACACTGTGGTTACAGCCTTAAACAGTTCTGGGATCACAGCAGTCTCTCCATTGGTTGGCTGCTTGCCTTCCCTCTTTATGTTGTTTTTTTTTTTTAAAGCCCTGGAGGGTTGGGAGAGAAATTGGCATTTTATTTGATGCTGATTCCCTGTAGCTGCCTCTTCCTTTCCTTGTGACTTACCAGGCAAGTGACTGGCCTTTCCTTTGTGTGGTTCATCTGCAGTGCCCTACCCGCTTCCTTTGCTCTTGCCAAGGCCAGTGGAGAGCTCCTAGCCAGGTCCTGCTGTCATCGCTTCTAGAAACCAACTACACTGTCTCCCTGATCCTGACTTCCTAAGCCCTCATGGCTCCCCTCCTCCTCCACCTTTCTTTGGAAGTTACTTTTTCAATTCTCCTTTGTGCAAGTGATTTGTTTGAATGTATAAACTTTTTTTTGAGGAAATTATTACTGTATTTTTTTTTTTAGTCCTCTTAATTTCCCCTCCATTGATGGTTTTACCATTACAATGAAAATGGAAACAGCTAACGTTTAACCAGCCTTGTCCATAAACCCGGCTCTGTTCTAAGTCGTCTAGATTAACCGTCAAGGCAGCTCCTAGAGAGGGAGAGAGTTATTTCCAGTTTCTAGAAGGGATGACAGCAGGATCTGGCTAGGAGCTCTCCACTGGCCTTGGCAATGGAGAAAAGCAGAGCACGGAGACATTGAGTAGCTTCTGCGAATTGCCCAGCACTGAAGGCAGAGATGGGATTTGAACCCAGGCTGTCTGAGCACAGAATTGGTCTTGTAAACTGTCTATAAATTACTCGACCAAGCTCATCTTCCAGGTTTTTCTTTTATAAATAGGGATGAGGTAAAATGTCTTTGCACATACCAATGCATCATCCAGGTATTTTTCTCAAATTGAAGAAGTTCCTCAAAATGGAATTATTGAGTCAGGGAATATGCCTTTTTATTTTATTATTTTTTTTGATATTGCCAAATTGTCCTTCATAAAATCTGTTGACAGTATATGAGTGTGCCCAGTACCCCAAAATCCTGGCTGGGTCTACATATTTTTATACATTTTGCCCCAAAGAAAGGCATCTCATTTTGGTGTTCTTGTGTTTTGTTACTTGTGAGCATAAATGCCTTGTTGCTGCTGTTGGATGTTACCTATGCCTGCATTCGTGTTTGCATCGTTTTTCCCGGTGTGCTTACCTCTCTTCCAGGTCTGTAGCATGCTTTGTAAGTGAGGGATGAGCTTTCTGTCCTTTTAGAGATTTGTCCTTTTCTCCCACCCACCTCCCGGGAGAAAAGCTGTGGGTCACTGCTTTTACTGCACAGCACAGAATACAGACCCTGGCTTCCCCCAGCAGGGTGGGGGCTGGGGCTTAGGCTGAGCGGAAAAGGAGAGGAGGAGGATGGACTGCTGGTGCCCCTACTTTCCCCTAGTCACCTTCCCTCCTTCCAGGAAGCAAGGGTTGGGAGCAGCTAAGAGAAGCTAGGATTCTTTAGGAGAGCTTGACCCCTATTGGTGAGGAGGCATTGGAGCAGGACATGCCCCTACTCATGAACTGAACAGGTATTTCCCTCCAGTCCATCATTTGTTTTTTTAACTTCATGGTGGCCTTTTTTGCAATGGAGAAGTTTTTCTCGTTCCATGGCCCTATCTGTTGAGCTTTCCCAAAATAGCTTCTAGTCAGAGTTGTGTGCTGCAAGCAGTCTGTCCTCGCTATTTTTCGATTTTAACTGGTGCTTACTCTGAGTTTCTGCTTTTAGTCTTTTGTGTTAGAGTTCCACTTTGAACCCAACGACTACTTTACCAACTCAGTCCTGACAAAAACCTACAAGATGAAATCAGAACCAGATAAGGCTGATCCCTTTTCCTTTGAAGGTCCTGAGATTGTGGACTGTGACGGGTAAGAAAATGTCATTCTACCTTGTTTTTCTGAAACAAAATGAAGAGATAATTTTGTAACTTGATGGGTAAGATAGAAGTAAGGAGTAAAGTACAGTCTTGAGTCTGCTTAAAAGCCTGGTAGATGGATATTTCAATAGTCTTTCAGTTTGGGAATGCTTGTAGTGCAGAACTTGGAGATGGTGGCCGAACCTGGGAAATGAGTCACGTGGTTGCATGTGCAAGCCTTTGGGATAGTGCCCGGTTTCTTCATTTTAATGAAAGTATTGGGTTCTCTAGACATCATGAATTGAAGTTCTTAAAATTGAATTCGTGGATTACCCTCAGCAAATAAATACTTATTGAATGAATGAGTCTGAGTCCAAGGCTGTCAGCTCATTGCTTTGGAGATAGGTGGGGGCAGCATAGCTGTTGTTTGACTCACTGATTTCAGGCTTTATAAATCACTAAAGAGAGAATTTGGTTTAGAATTAATTTCTCCAGGTTGGATTGACTGAGAAATGGTTTTAGTCTTTACTTGAAACAATTAAGTTTATTTACCAGAACTAAGTACTAATTGTTAATTCAGGACTTTATTGAAATCCTGCTGGAGTAATTTAGAAAAATAATTTTCCAGGGCCAGGCCATCGTGTGAGAAAAAGGCCTGGCCTTTCCAAGCATGTTCTTATGCGGGCAGTATTGAGATCTGCCAGGTGTTTCCTGGGTCCATGGTGATTGTGTGTTAGAGAGCGTGCTGTGCTCAGCCCTTGCCAGCCTCCCTGGGGCTGGAGTGGTCTGCACTGGCCGTCAAGATTCCCAGTGGCCACCTATTTCCTTTTTTCAGCTTGTTCTGCTCACTTGGCTGCCTTGAACAGCAGCAGCAACTCCTGCTTCCTTGGGAAGCCGAGGACAAGTTCTTGTGCATCGTGCAGACTTGACACAAGGGCTTTGCCACAGAATACACATTTCGGAGTCCTGATGAAATGTCTTGGGAAAATAATACCATTGTTCCAGAAGTCTGAGGTTTGAGGCAGTGGTCACACCCAAGTTGAAAGAGGACCAGGCCATTTCTCTTTTGCCAACCTCCAGATGAACTTCATGGGCCATTGTATTTGGTTTGCAGATTGGTTTTATTTAGTTTTCCAGGTTTGGCATAGAGCTGTGGTTTGCTTCCTGCCTGCATTTGTAATGGATTTTTCTCATGGATTGTGTGTTCATGACAGCTGTCTTGTCCTGGTAGGTGTACCATTGACTGGAAGAAAGGAAAGAATGTTACTGTCAAAACCATCAAGAAAAAGCAGAAGCATAAGGGTCGAGGCACTGTTAGAACAATTACGAAACAAGTACCCAATGAGTCCTTTTTCAACTTCTTCAATCCACTGAAAGGCAAGTCTGTTGGTGGTTAATATTCATTATGTACTTGTATAAAATAATTTTGGTCACCTGATAGATTCCTAACACCCAGAGACTTTAGTCCTGTTCTTTCAGGCAAGTGTGGTCAGTAGGGGCACATTGCTGTGTCCCAGGCTGTTCTGTTGGTGCGCTGGCAAGTTTATTGTGGCGGGCAGAGGTAGCTAGGACAGTAAGAGTATGATTGTCATCTTCTGCAGGAAAGGGAAGAGCTTTGCTCTGCTTGGCTGCAGCCCAGGCAAAAACTTGTAGTTCTGTTTTAATAAAACTGAATGGAGTGTTTGCACCTGGGCTGCTTCCTTACCTGAAGCACCCTTCTCCACCAGTTGGCATTTCTGCCCCTCTGTTATGTCTGTTTTGCACCCCCCAGAGACCACTCCCAGCCTGGGAGAGCTGCTGGGTTTGCTCTCCAGGTACCCGTTACTGCTGTACGCTGGTTCTAGTTGTGCCGCTTTTGGATCATCTGCTTAGTCCCCCTTTTCTCATAATTTTATTTTATGCACAGTTTGATAGAAGTTTTTGGAATTTATATGTTGTGAGAAACAAGTAGTTGGGACTTTCAGTTTTGAAAAACATTGGCAGAATCACAGCTTGGAAGCTGCTTCCATTTATTTATTTGTTTATTTAAATTTTCCTAAGTGGTAAAATAAAGAGGAGACCTTTGAACTAGTAAAGACTGACCAGTTGATTTTGAGAGTAAATTACTTGGGATTTTTCATATAATTTCCTAATCATGAGAGAATGTGAAGTTCAAACTACTTGTCAGTGTTAAAATATCCATATTCTCTTTAGTTTCCATGAACAAAAACATAATTTGAAGTGAAGAGATGCCATCCCCTGCTGCAGATAATCAGTTAGTGTTTGTATGTGGGGCCACAGGGTGGCTCTCTTCTCCAATCTGAGTGTTTAATTTTTTTGATTTTGTCTCTGAGCTTAGCACCCTTATTTATCAAGCTATCCTTCAGAGTTCAGTTCGTTATTTTAATTGTGGTGCCTATTTTCTGCAATTAGACTTTGAATATAGAAGATACAAATATATAGGGTTTGGGGAATGAGAGCAGTCATAAAATTAGGTATTACATTTCATGTTCTTTTGCAAGATTCCTTTTAGACATTTGAGTTGGGCATATTGGAGATTGTGAATTCACCGTGAAGCAGGGGGCTTTACTTTCTGGAATCACTGACTTTTTGTAGGAAGTTTTCTTAAAACTGATTTAAAAATAATTTTTTGTTGGGCGAGGTAGCTCACGCCTGTAATCCCAGCACTTTGGGAGGCCGAGGTGGGTGGATCACGAGGTCAGGAGATTGAGACCATCCTGGCTAACATGGTGAAACCCCGTCTTTACTAAAAATACAAAAAATCAGCCAGGTGTGGTGGCGGGCACCTGTAGTCCCAGCTACTGGGGAGGCTGAGGCAGGGGAATGGCGTGAACCCAGGGGGCAGAACTTGCTGTGAGCCGAGATTGTGCCACTGCACTCTAGCCTGGGAGACAGAGCAAGACTCCGCCTAAAATAATAATAATAATAATAATAATTTTTAGGATAAAAATGGAGTTGAAAGTGGACTCAAGGGAATTTTTAAGTGTTTTTTTTGTTGTTGTAGGTTCTAAAACTTTTATGTGGTATGGTTGCACAACTCTAAAGTTAACACACTGAAAGTCATAAAGTTGTACATTTAGAGTGTATGCCTTTTGTGGTATGTAAATCCCATCAATAAAGCCACTTTTAAAGTAATCAAACACATAATACCATATGGTAAGTGCTATGAAAAAAATTGAGGGGAGGCCGAGACGGGTGGATCACGAGCTCAGGAGATCGAGACCATCCTGGCGAACACCGTGAAACCCCGTCTCTACTAAAAAATACAAAAAACTAGCCGGGCGAGGTGGCGGGCGCCTGTAGTCCCAGCTACTCGGGAGGCTGAGGCAGGAGAATGGCGTAAACCCGGGAGGCGGAGCTTGCAGTGAGCTGAGATCCGGCCACTGTACTCTAGCCCGGGCTACAGAGCGAGACTCCGTCTCAAAAAAAAAAAAAAGAAAAAAAAAAAGAAAAAAATTGAGGATGGGCAGGGAGTAGGTAATGGGGTAGTGAAGGAACAGACAAAATGAACTCCTGTGGTATGAAGTGAAGGAGGCATTAGCTAGTGAGTCCAGCTCTGTCTTTGTCCTTAAAGCTACAAAGCCAGTCCAGAAGTATGAGTGCTGAGAATCCTTGTGCTGATTCATGACCCCGGCCAGAGTGCCCTGGGGAGCATGCTGCTCCAGCGTTTAGACACCCAGCCATGCCCCTAACCCATGTCTTAAACCCCCGGGTGATGCTGGCACACCGAGGCTTGGGAGCTTTGCCTTGCTCATGGGTGGTGTTTACACACCCAACGCTCATGTCTCAGCAGCAAACAGCAAGTGCTGCCAGGGTTGTGGTCGCTTAATGGGAAGAGAGACTCAGAAGAGCCCAGTGAAGATTGAAAAGGCAGGTATGAGACTAAGTAGAGTAAACATTCAACTCCTGATGAAGGTCAGGGTCTTGTAGTAAATGTCTCTAAAATCAGGGGGTTGGATCGTGTACCATTTGAATGTTGCATGGCTTCATTGAGTGTGGTTAGAAGTCCCTGTCTGTCTTGGTGTGCTTAGCTCATCCAAGCATCAGCTTTCACTGAGGAGCTGCGCCACTCTACGGGGGCACTGGTGGGCATTTCAGCACTCTCCAGTTAGAAATGCAGTTTCTGCCTCGCCGAGATGCAGTGCCTTAGTAACACTTACAGCTTATAAGGCTTAAGGACTTTCTCTTTCTCTCCTGCACCATCATGTATAGTTCTGCAGGACATGAGTTAAATTTCTCCATAAAGCACAAATGCACTGAATGGCCACATGGCCATAGCCTAGGGGCTGTTTGCCTTTCCTCCTGTTAATATATTAACCCTCTCAAAATGATTTTCTCAAGCTTGAGTGCCAGCCCATGGCACGTGATGGAGGAGAGGGGAGGGGGGCATAGAGGCACTCAGGCCAGCTTCAGAAGTGGTGGATGGAGCTTGCGACGATGTCTGTCAGGAGATGCAAGGCTTTGGGGATTTCTAGTTTAAACCTCAAGGTGAAAAATGTTACATTTTGTCTACCAGCACAACTTACTCCTGTGTGGGCTTTAAAATTCTGGGACTTGTCACTGTAACTTAAATATGTTTTGTCTTTTTTTTTTTTTTCCTAGCATCCGGGGATGGAGAATCACTGGTAAGATTTGTTGTTACTAGTCTGATTTTGCTGTTGAAGTCTCTCCTGAGTGAATGTCTACTTGTCTGCTTGTTTAAAAAAGTCCAGTCCTGGCCGGGCGCGGTAGCTCAAGCCTGTAATCCCAGCACTTTGGGAGGCCGAGACGGGCGGATCACGAGGTCAGGAGATCGAGACCATCCTGGCTAACACAGTGAAACCCCGTCTCTACTAAAAAATACAAAAAACTAGCCGGGCGAGGTGGCGGGCGCCTGTAGTCCCAGCGGGCTGAGGCAGGAGAATGGTGTAGACCCGGGAGGCGGAGCTTGCGGTGAGCTGAGATCCGGCCACTGCACTCCAGCCTGGGCGACAGAGCGAGACTCCGTCTCCAAAAAAAAAAAAATAAATAAATAAATAAAAAGTCCAGTCCTGGCTGTGTATGGACTGCGTATGCCTGTAATCTTAATGCTTTGGGAGGCTGAGGTGGAAGGACTGTGTGAGTCCGGGAGTTTGAGACCAGCCTGGGCAACATAGCACAGCCCCATCTCTACAAAAAATTAAAATCAAATAAATTAACTGGCCGAACACAGTGACTCACACCTGTAATCCCTGCATTTTGGGAGGCCAAGGTGGGTGGATCACCAGAGGTCAGGAGTTCAAACCAGTCTGGCCAACATGGTGAAACCCCGTTTCTGCTTAAAATACACACACACACACACACACACACACACACACAAATTAGCTGGACATGTTGGCAGTGCCTATAATCTCAGCTACTTGGGAGGCTGAAGCAGGAGAATCACTTGAACCCGAGAGGAGGAGGTTGCAGTGAGCTGAGATCGCACCACTGTATTCCATCGGGTGACAGAGGGAGACTCCGTCTCAAAAGATAAAATAATAAATTAGCTGGACGTGGTGGTGCACTGTGTAGTTCCAGGGTCACTGGGGCCCAGGAGCTTGAGGCTATAGTGAGCTGTGATTGCACCACTGCACTCCAACCTGGGTGATAGAAAAGTAAAAGTACATGTTTCATATGTTGGTTTCAGTAGCAAACGTGTAGTGCTTTAATACTGCCCGTTCCCCATGTGTGAGACTCTGATACCCCCTACTCTGAGTGAGACCTTTGGACAGGTGATGGAGCTGTGAGGCCCTCAATTCCCACTTGCTCTGCCATTTTGCTTCAGTAGCTCTTTAAAGCTACTTGCAGTTGTTTTAAAAGGGCTTTGAGTATCTAGTGGCTGTCCCCTAGCAGTGCAGGAGTTTGGTGTTTTAAGTTAAGTAAATCATAAGTGAGGGGCTGAGGTTTAGCTGAGGGTGGTGAAGCAAATGTTTTTATCCCATTAAAATGAGTTAACACGTGGGTTTTTCCTCCTCAGGATGAAGATTCTGAATTCACATTAGCCTCTGATTTTGAAATTGGACACTTTTTCCGTGAGCGGATAGTCCCGCGGGCTGTGCTGTACTTCACTGGGGAGGCCATAGAGGATGATGACAATGTATGAGGCTCGGGGAAGGGGGGCTCCCACCTGGGTGCTTATCTCTGTTGGTGCAGAGTGGCCCTGAATTGTGGCTTGGGAAACCCCCATGCCTAATCTTTTTATGACATCATCAGTCAGATACGTAGTCTAAGCTGCTGTCCTTGTGGGGGGAATATACTTGAAGAGGAGAGGTCTGAGGAACAGAGCAGAAAAAGCAGGTGTCTGTGAGGCAGTTTCAGAGATGATTGCCAGTTTCCTATGTGAGCCCTGCCTAGTGATTCAACAGTATTCTCTAAAAACCTAAGCTTCAGGGTACTTCTGAACATGGGGAAAATCTCTTTCATGGAGGTCTGACCACAGCAAACATTTATTGACAGTGGACTCATGCTAGCCTGTATTTCATCAACCCAAAAGAAATAGAAATTCCTGAACTTCTGTCTAATTAGGTAAAAAGGAAAAAGACCCATGCTCCCAAGAAAACAACAAGATTGCATGTCACTTTCCTTTCTGGGCTTGAGGGAAGCCAGCTCTTCCACGGTCAGAACTTGCGGGCACACAGCCCGTGCACCACTCAGAAACTCCCATCCTCACCAAGGTTCAGGCAGCTTCAAGTCTTCTTGATCTGTGGAAAATAAAGTTTTGTTTTATAGAATGTTACTGGAAGTGTGTTCTAGATGACATTCTCTTGCTTGTGGAGCTCTTAGGTTTTGTGGCTGCGCTAAGTTTCTTTTCTTAGAAGGGCTGGCCTGTTGGGGCTTCAGACAGGGCAGCAAGAGCCTAGGTGGGTTCAAGGGCCTTAGCCCCCTGTGGCAGTAAAGACCAACATCTCCTCACACTTCTCCCATTGTACTGAGTTCCACCAGTGGGGAGAACAGGCCAGCGTGCTCTTTGTCAGCTGTTAGGTCTTAGACTGTTCGTTTAACTTCTAAAACTCAACTTGCTGGCTCATCCCTAGGCTGGGAGGTGATTGTAGGTCAGGGAACATGGACAGTCAGGTAGCTGCCAAGACATAGTTTTACGGATTCTAGACCAGCACTTTCCAATAGAACTTCCTCTGTTGATGGAACTATCCTCTGCCTGCTTGGTGCAGCGCAGTAGAACTGACCACTTGAGGACTTGAAATAAAATATGGCTGCTGTGACTGAGGAACTGAACATTTCATTTACATTAGTTTAAGTTTAAATAGTGAGCTAAGGGCTAGTGGCTACACATTGGAAAGCTTATCTCAAACTTTTTTGATCATACACCCATCAGTTTAAAAGACTTGAATATGCATGTGTGCTATTTGTTTACTTATATGCGATGTCTGTACTACTGGTGAGCACTGTGCCACATTTGCTTATAGTAAATGTGTATTTCATTCATAATATGTTCAGCACAGGTACTACTGATAAGCAGTGTCATTTAGAGGCTAGAAGTGCCAGCTCAGATTAGACTGCTTAGACTCACATCCCCACTCTCCCCCTTAGTAGTTCCACCACCTCCTTAAGCTTCAGTTTCCTCAGCTATAAGTAGAGCTCATGGTGAAGACTGATTACTTGTTAAGCCCTTAACATGGCACCTGAACATAGCCCTTAACATAGCACCTGGCACAGAGCAATGACACAGTAAGTGTTGGCATAAAAAGTCCCACCTGCCCAGGTGGGTGATGCATCTGGAGCAGCCCCTGTGCACAGCCCCTCAAGGGCGAAATGCTGTCCTTAGAGCTTTGGAATAGGCCCTGGAGCCTGCTGGAGGCCCATTGGGATCTGACCTGAAATGGAAGATTATTAAGAAGTCTTTCCCTGTCTGATGCCAGTTAGGATCCTTAGAGCGAAAGGGCGCTGCACTGTGGTCACGTCTCATCCTGGCTGCTGCGTGGCGCCAGGAGGCTGTGCAAACTGTGTGAACTCCACACCAGCACAGTAAGATCCTTCTAAGTTCCACTGAAGTTGGCTCTAAGGAATACATGGTGTGAGCTCAACAAAAAGGGAAATGTTGATAAATGAAACTGCATTTTCAGTGTACTACCCTGGTTATGCAACCAGTAGTGATAAGATGGTTTTACTTTTAATGTAAGTTTCATGTTTGAAACTTGATTTTCAGTCTGACCAATGATGTCTTTGGATGTAGGAGAAACTGATTCAAGACAATTGACTAATGTTGGAGGTTCACTTTTGAGCACCTTAGTGTTTAAAGATTAAACACCAAAGTTTTAATATATTTCTACTAAGTTTTTTTTTCCCTTTGTGTGAGATGTAAAATGATACCCAGGTTCCTGTATCCAATAACATTATGCTACTGGTTAGATCAGCCTTGTAAAAATTTAAGGAAAGCAAATTCATTGGTTTACAAAAATCTTTTCCTGTGTGCCTGCTCCTTGTGTGAGAACACTCAGGGCAGAGCTGTGGTGCCAGGTTCCCAACTGTGTCCAGTGTACAGCCTGGCTGACCAGCTTCCTATCCTATTCCTTGTTTTGCGTGACTTTCAATTTCCTGGCATGCTTTTAAAATGCATTGCACACAAGCAAATGACTCCTCAGCCAAGCGAGGCCCAGCAGGCAGCGTGGCTGAACTTTCTGCTCTTCTTAGGCTTGATCAGTGAGTCATTTGATGGGACTGGTGTCTCCGGCAGGCTGCTGTCATGTTTTGTGAACTTAAAAATGTTTTTCTGTGTTTTTCCAGTTTGAAGAAGGTGAAGAAGGAGAAGAGGAGGTAAGAGACAGGTTTATGCAGTGCCACTTACCTCCCTGAAGTTGTTTTTTTGGCTTTCTCTGCTTGAAGGTTATGGACTCACAGGGCTGTGGTGCACCCATTTTTTGTGATGCTGTCTTTGACTCTAACAGTGTTCTTAAAACACTAAGCAGAAATGCATAGCAAATGCTGTGACAGTTTTTGACCCTGCAGTTGGCTTATGAAAATGTATCTTAGAAAATAATCATTTAACAAAATCTACTTTTTCAGAATTGTGTTTCTTTTAGGGCTATCTGTGAGAATAAAAAGATACCTAGAAATAATTCTAAGTGTCCAGAGGAAGTGATGAGTCACTTGTGGGTAGCAGTAATTGATTTCCGTCTAAGGCAGTGTATTGCTCCGTGTGTTTGTGGATTGTGAACGCCACAAGAGTTTAAATCTTGTCATTCCAGCTAATTCTCACTTTTTAAATATAGGAATTAGAAGGTGACGAGGAGGGAGAAGACGAGGATGATGCAGAAATTAACCCCAAGGTTGGTAACTTTGGGGCCACCCAGACCTACTTATTATGCTACACTCTTAGACTTTTAAAAATGTTCCCCACTTTGAGGCAGTAGTATCAACAGTATTCATTGTTCCCTAATTAGAAAGTTTAAAATGTGTCAGAAAAATACTGGAATGATTATTCAGGCACTGTGTATATAATTTGAGTGTTGAGTGTACATATTCAGTGGAAGCTTTTCCAGCTATCTCAGGCTGTGTCTTAGTTACGTAGACTCCTCAGTGGAGCACCTTGACTTTCCCAATGTTTCATTCTTTTAAGGTAAGGTAATGATTTAACTGACAACATAAACTTTTCTTTGCGCGTGTTTGGAAAAGGTGCAAAGAAGGGACTTGGGGGCTCTTTTTGTTAAGGAGCAGAATAATGGGGTTGTGGGCATCATTTGACAGTTGCAGTTGAGCTGGGCATGCCCAGATGGTGTGTCTAGATATCTCATCTGTCTCAGATAATTTAAAATATATTGGGAAGGTTTACTAAAGAAAACTGAGTTGGAAATGAGTGGACAACCCCATTAATTTTACCTGCAAATTTAGATTTTTATTTGTGGTCTCAGAGTAACTTAAGGTACTTTGACCATTTGACACATTTTAAAATCAGAACTGCTTAAATGTCATCCTACAGCTGTCATAAGAGTTTCCTCTCATAAAACATGAAATGTGTAGTTCCCTTGCCTCTTAAAATTAAGTATATTATGGGCTGTCAGAATACTGTTACCTGGTGTTTTTGTAATGTGTCTCTGTCCGACTAGATGTTTTTTGCTTGTTTTTACCCTTGTTTTTGGAGTGTGCACTAAGCTGTCAGTGTGATATCCTGGCTCTGTCATCAGTTGGTTGAAACCAGCTATTCCCATGAATGCGTGTTCACAGTTGTGGTTCCTTCAGGGAAGGGATGGGAGAAGAGCTTTTAAAACTTTTTTGAGAATGTGTCTTATAAAGACTACTCTGGGAATAATATGCTCATGGAAATGTTCATCTTCTAAAGGTTGGCCTGTTGATGTGGGAGGTCTCTGTGCTGAAAGTGTACCTGTGCTCAGCACCATGGTGGTGGGCGGTGAGGGCTGTAGGAGATCAAGGCCTGGGTCTGCCTTGCGTGGATCACAGTGTAGGGACAGGGAAGATGAGGGCTGTCAGTCAGCCAGTGAACAACGCTGGGGGAATAAATGCTGCCCATCACTGCTCTGCAGGGTGTCTGATGGACCCAAGGGCCACGTGTGTTTATTGGGCCATGTTTCCACCTTGTGGGCGCTGAATGGACACTTTCAAGGTTGCAGTTGTAAAGCAAGGACTGGGGGCAATTGGCAGGGCCACCTCCTCAGACTCTGCGCACAGCTGCCTGTCCTTGTTGTACTTGTCTCTCCCCCTCCCTATATTCTGTGCCTCGGCGTCTCTTTTCCTCCCCTCTGTTGTTTGTTCTGCTTCCTTCTGTCACCTTGGAGAACCTTGAGTCTCCTTTCACGTCCCAGGTTTCTAAAAGAGCATTCTCACCAGCCATTATAGAGAACATGACGTGGTGGATTACAGGCTAACACACCATGAGACCGCTGATAGGTTTTGTTGGCTGGGGGAGAAAGGACTAAAAACATATACAGGCTAATGGTGTGAATGAAGTTCAGAGACGGCCGGGCATGTGTGGCCCGGATAAGGCCAAGCCTGCTATCCCTGTCACGTGCACCTTCCAAAGAGATGGGCAGTGTTAGAGTCTGTGCAAGCAAAAGAAAACAAGGAAGGAAGGGAGGTTTTAGTATTGGGGGCAGTCTGATAAAAGCGAAAATCATGCTTCTGCCCATTTTGAAAGTATGATCTGGTGTTGAAGTTGTTCACCCCGAGTTCAGTATCTTGCAGCCCTTTTGTATCATGAGAAATTGTGGCCGTTGCCTCCTGTATAATTTTGTGCATTTCATTTTCTTTCATGCTGACAGTTCCTTTCAATTTTTTTCCCCATTTAGGTGTAATTTTTGTCTGTTAATCATTCATACGTTTCTAGGTAAGGTGGAATTCCATTCATACCTAACTTCCAAACTTCTGATCTATACTTTATACAATGCATTGTTTTGACTTTGAATAAAGAGGGAGTTGCTGTCCAGGCACACTCACTGTGTCACAGGTTTGACATAGAGCTTTCTGAAGAACACTGTTTTTGTACAGATGTCTGTTACATGTACTTTTAAAATCAACGAACCAAACCTAGATTTGGTCCCTGCTTTCTGAGCCCAGTGTTTCTTGCTAACCAAGTAGCAAAGATGTAACTTGGGTGTTATTTTCATTGCTGATGGTACTGCTTTCCAGCAAGAGGGCCCTGGATGGTTAGCAGTCTGCAGGGGGGCGCACACAGGCCACCATAAGGAAGCAGTCCTTGCAGAGCGCATAGCACACTGGGCCCAGCTGTGCTCAGAACACATACTGTGGCAGTTGAAATCAGCCCACTGTCACTACCAGCACGTGTCTGTTGAAATCTACACTTTTTGAATTCATGTTCTGTGCAGACCAATAGGTACACAGAGGAGTAACAGCTTTTACTGTGCCAGCATTTTTTATCTGCAATGTTAACTGGCATCTGTTTTGGTGTCAGCAGTAAAAAGTACTGTTGTGAGGTTGGCGGAGAATTCTCTAATTGAATGAAGCAAGAACCAGTTGTAGATTAAAACGAGTGTCAGTAATCCTGGAAGCTCTTTCCCACCCCCCACTTTCTTCAGTCCCTGTAGCTCTGCCCTGTCCTGGAATGGCTGACAGGAGGCCGTAAGTAGACAGAGGCCCTTGTCCGTGACGAGACCCGTTCACTCGTGGCACTCGTGGGATGTTGTGGGAGAAAGCAGAGAGGTGGGAACAAGAGGTGCCGTGAGAAACCCCACGATCGTAGCAGGGCCTCTGCATGCCGGGGTATGTAGGCACTCCGATTTTAAGGGTCTCATCATGGAACGGCAGCATGATCCTGGCAGCCCATAGACCAGATGTCCTTGAGGTCTTAGCACCACTGTCTCCCTGTCTTCCTCATGTAGGCTGCTTTCATGGGAAACTGATGCGTACATAGGGTAGATGCAGCGGTTGGAACGATTTTGTTTTCCAGGGCCAGGTTTGAGAATTTGCCTGTATGTTTAAAATTATGTCTAGCTGCCGTTAATTCCCGTTGTCCCCTTATGTCTGAAGAACTTAGCCACTCCTGTTCCACCTGTACCCTCACCCACTCCTCCCATGCCACCAGCTCTTTTGAAGAGAATCCTCGGTGCATGCCACCTGTCTGTATTTCAGCATGTGTCCCTGGAAGAGAAGGGCAGGGTGCAACCCCGAGGAGTATCACCCTGAGGCCACTGCCTCTTCAGCCATAGAGCTCTGGGCACTTGGGGCTTCTTCACCAGCGCAGCTGTGGTCGAGCGTGTTTTAGTGGCATGTCTTTGTTGCCTTTCTCAGGTCGAGTGTTATCTGTTAAAACCTCACCTTTTAAATGGTCCCATGAGACATGAGATTTTTTTCCTATTAGTTGGTACCTTTTAAAATGCCAGCTCCCCCTCCCTTGATAATCTTAGCATCGATTAATGACCCAACCATCATTAAAATCTATGACATGAGATAAAGGATGCTTCAGTTTAGGAGTTTAGGTGTAGTTTTGTTTTTTTGTTTCTTTGTTTTTGTTTTTGGCAGGTATCACAGGCTGAAAACAATTGGTGTCTCATATGTAAAATTCACTTCTAAAACTGTCAGTCACTTGCAGAAGCTCCAGCGTGCTGTGTGAGCACCAAAGCCTGGCAGGGGTGGGCCACGTGCTGCCTTCCTGCCCAGAGGGGGCTGTGCCCTCAGGCACGGGGGAGGCAGCTCTTCCCAGAGCCAGGTGCCTGGCCCACTCCCCTCCAACAAGGCACTGGGTCATGACACCAGTCTTGAGAGTCTGTTCTATGTGGACTCTGTTCCCTCTAGAAGTCTTTACCCAGGATATTGGTTTTATTTAGGACAGATGAATACTACGTTCTCATGGTTGAAAATGCCTGTTACTTCATTTCTGCAACTTAGGATAATTTAGATTTATTTCTGGTTGAGCATTCCAAATCTGGAATCCTCCCGTGAGCATTTTCTTTGTCTTGGGTTCCAGATTTTGGAGTGTCTCAGATTTGGGATTTGGGATGTTCAATCTGTGGTAGGATAAATTATAACCATCCTGGCTAACACGGTGAAACCCCGTCTCTACTAAAAAATACAAAAAACTAGCCAAGCGAGGTGGCGGGCGCCTGTAGTCCCAGCTACTCGGGAGGCTGAGGCAGGAGAATGGCGTGAACCCGGGGGGCGGAGCTTGCAGTGAGCTGAGATCCAGCCACTGCATTCCAGCCTAGGCAACAGAGCAAGACTCCGTCTCAAAAAAAAAAAATAAAATAAAATAAAATCCTGTGTATGACATGACATAGTATTTGCATAACTTAAATGCACATAAAGATGGAGTCTGTTACCAGCCCCAGTCTTCCCCGTCCCTGCACAGCTCCTTTACTGACCTCCCATTTTCTAGGCATGTCCCTTGGTGGAGGCACACTGCTTTGTCCCACTCCTCCCCTCACTGTGCCTGCCCGGGGCGCGCTGCATCCCCCACACTCTTAAGGCCAGTGGCTCAGTGCCCTTGGCTAGTACACTGGGCCACCTTCAGTCTATCCTTGAATGTCAGATTGACAGGTCTCAGTTGATCTTTTTGGTGAGGGTTTTTGGTCAGTGTCATTTTGTCTCAGCCAGGCTCTTTAGGCAGCCTGTGGGGTGGCTGAGATTGGGAGCTTAGACCAGGGTTCAAGGTTATTGATTTTTTTTTTTCATCTTTTATACATATCTTTTTGACTATCCCTTAAATGTGATTTCCCGAAGAATGAACTGTAGCCTCAGCTTATACCATGGAAGATGTCAGTTATGTTAACCCAGCTTATACCATGGAAGATGTCATCTGTGGTTACCCAGGGGTCTTTCTGCCCCATACAGTCCAAGTTCTTGGGTTCCATAGGCACGCTGGATTAAGAGCAGTTTGTAATCTTGGCCAGAAATCACAGGTTATAGGTCCATGAAGTTACTAGCTCAGGAGCATTAGCAAGATCATGTCATATTTCTTAGGCTATTGTTGGCCTCCACACAAATTCATGGAGTTGCTGGATGTGGTTTAAAGAGTACAAGATCTCTGTGTTAGATAATATTGGAGTTAATCCATTCCTCTGGGAGGGGAATCGTGTCCCGGATGCTGTTACTGGAAGGATAGCATTCCCCCTTGGTGAGACTGTTAAGAGAGTGAGTGACAGATGGAGCTCTTGGGAGTGGCAGCCCGTCATTTGTTGGTGCAGTACAGACCACCAGAGAGGATGGATCTGCTGGGGCACAACCTGGTAGTACAAAGAGCAGGAACCTGCTAGAGGAGAGATTTGCTGTCCATGAGCGCCAAGGGTCCGGCCTACCCTGAGACAGATGTGCCCTTGAGAAATGAGGACTGTCGGCACCAAGAGGGGTTGCCTCTGCGGTGGCCTTCCTGGGTGGAGCTGCCCATGTTGAGCGCACTGTGCTCTGTGTGGGCAGGAGTGCCGGCTGCTTCCCAGCCCTTTAATGGGCAGCCTCCTGGAGCTTCACCACCCCAAGGAGCCGCAGAACCCTCCTGCCGAACATGACATGAATTTGAATGCTTCAAGGCATAGCTTTAAAAACAAAAAAAGCAGCCCTGCTTTGACTGTGCAGGGGTAGGGGGAGTTAGCTTTGTTCTTGTCACTATTTTTAAAAGTATATTTGCAGTAACCATTTTTTTCAATGAGAATGAACTCATTCAGTCTTGGCTTTCGTTGTTGATTGGAGCTAATTGGTGAATGGAGCTGGCTTTGTTCTCTACAAGCCTTGTCTTTTTCGTTGACAGAAGGAACCCAGCCAGCCGGCGGAATGCAAGCAGCAGTAGGAAGCGGAGGCGGGTGCCTGGCAGACCGACTGTCGGGACTCCAGGCCTGTGGGCGGGGCCCCGGTCCTTGCCGCAGCACAATCCCGTCGACAGAGCTTACTCCATCTAACTCGTTTTCAAGTGCATGATTTTCACTTTCACTTTTCCTTTTTCCTTATTATTTTGCTTAACTTGTACAGTGGCAACTGAAATGCATTTCAGAAATAGGAGGTTTCGTCCAGCACCCTCTGCAGCCTTGGTGCCTGTAGCTCTGGACTTGCCTGGGCCCTGTGGGAGGGCCCCATAGATCACATCGGGGTGGGGGGGGTCACTTGGCAAAAAGGGCCGAGGTCTGATGTGGTTCCCAGGATCTAGAACCTCTCCCGCCCTCCTACAGTTGGACTGAATTCTTCCCTTTCATTCGAAGAAACCCACTTGCTGTTTCCAGCTGCTTAATCTGCCGAGTGTGCAGCCTGCGTCACCTGTTACATGCTAATCATCTCAGAAGGGCTGTGTAGAGTAGCTGTGTTCTTCTTAGGATGTTGCTTCTTGATTTTCTTTTTTTAAGGGGTGGGTCAGGGTTGTGACACACCAGCCCAGGCAAGAGCTGCTGCGGGTCACCTCATATTTATTTATCCCTTCTTGCCTGTGAGGACTGCGGCCTTTCGCTGTCACTCGTCCTTACCATTTCTGAACCACCTTGGTGACCTGAGCGGGAAGAGGTGCCACTTCCTAGCAGGAGCAAGGCCTGTGCGGAAGAAACGCTGCTCCTTGCCACCAGGGCTGAAGACGCGAGCCCGTCCTCGTGACGCAGGCGCCGCCCTGCTGCCGGAGCCGGGCTTCGGCGGTCTTCTCCAGTGAGGGGCTGGGCTGGGAAGTCCTGCGTTTCAGTTGAGCGTATGAGCGTCAAGTCCTGCTTTCTCAGTAGCCCCATTGCTGGGCCCCACCATTCATCCTGTCTGAAGGTCCTGGGTTTGGTGTGACCGGTTGGCGGCTGGTGGGTGGGATTTCCAAGTGGGGGACGGCACTCTCCAGCAGCCTGGGGATGGCCGTGTCCACACCGACCAGGCCTGTGGAGAGTGCTCAGCCTAACCTTAGAACACATTTGTAACTGAATACAGTGTTTTCAATTTGTACAGAATAGTTAGAATATTCTATTAAAGTTGTGAAACATGGAGTCAGCACTGTGCCATGTCGTTCTTTGTAGGGGAATGTGGTGGGGAAGCAGGTGGGTGCCATCTGCTCCCCTCCGGCGGCTCCTATGTGCTGTACAGCCTGTTGGACTCTGTTGAGCCCTGGGTATTGGTGGCTCCAAGACTGGTTGTACAGTTTACTTCTGAGGCCTTGAAAGCTCAGTTTGAGGCAGAGGCTGCTGTAGCCGCCCCCACTACACCTTAGTCACTGCTGTATGTAGGCAGCTTCACTGTGGGCCCAGGGGAAGACCGTTCCCTCCCCCAGGAGGGGATCATTTCTCAGAGTTAGTGGGACTGTGGCTTGTCGATCCAGAAGGCTCCAAGAGCAGAACTTCCTGATAAAGCCCATATTAGGTCTGTCTGCTCTCTGAAGCTCTTCCCGGTGTGTCTTCCATCCACAGTGAGAGGAGGCACTCCACTCAAACACCTGCCGCACTGGCGCTTCTTGACCTGACTGTGGGAATCCCAGCCTTGGCAGCGCTGACTGGTGAATGAAACTCCGTCATGAGAAGGCAGCCATGGAGCTGGCTCATTGCTCCCCACATGGCTGGCCCTGCCCTGCCGCCTCCAGCTCACCCGTGGGCTGCCTTCTCCCTGGGAGCAGCAGGAAGGGGAGGTGCAGGCTGGGAAGTGAATGTCCTTCCAGCATACCCCCAAGGGCTGTGGAGCCTGATGTCTGTGCTTCCTGCACCCGTTCCTCCGTCCCCATCCTTTGAAGTACCTGGGGGAGCTTGGTCTCAGGCTCCCCAGCCTCAGGGTGGCCCCATGGGTGAGCAGCACCCTGGCCTTACTTGGTCTGCCCAGGGTCAGACCCCATAATCCAAAGGGCAGGTGCCATTTTGCAGTGACCCCCCCATCAGCTGGGGAGATGAGAGCCCTGCACACTGTCCTGTCCACTGGTTGCCCAACGTGCCTTTTAGGAAGGGCTCTACAGGCTTGTGGAGTGCCCCTCACTACCTAGCTGGGTGGTTTTAGATCAGATTTGCACAAATGGGGAAAAGGGGATGTTAACATTGTGGTTTCTGGGGATGGGGGTATCTGGATTTTCCCTTTTGAGTAAGAAGTGTGTGAGGACCCTGCACCCACCTGCCGTGCATCCTTCACAGAGCTGGGTTCTTGTGTCCCCCACTGAGTCTGACTCCTGGGAGTGCATGGTTTGTGGATGCTGCCCAGTTCCAAGGACATCATCTGGGTGCAGGACCTCAACATGAAGCCCGGGGAGCTGTGGAGGCCTGAGGGTGCAGGTGCCTGGTTTCCCCCAAGACCTCAGCACCTGGCCTCTGTCACCCCTGCATGGCCGCTGTCCTGCCTGCTTCCCAGGGTCTCAGGAAAGGGAAGGTCATTCTCCAGTGGCCAAGGAGCCCAGGAACCATCCCAGGCCCAGGCCATTGTCAGCTCCGGGACCTCAGCCATGAGTGGTCACAGAAAGTTGCTGAGTGGTTGAGAGGTTTGCCCAGAGCCACCATCTGGAAGGCAGCTGGGAAGTGGGGGCTTGTGGTGGCCACCCGGCCTGGCCTGGGTGAAGGGTGGCTGCTTCCCTTCTGGTCCTGGGGGCCAGGGGGTGCCGCCATAGAACCTCAGCTCTGCTAGCCGGGCCCCTCCTTTGTCCCTGCTGAGCCCCCTGCTGGGGAGGCAGACATTGACCGTCCAGCCCCACCCCAGCCCCTGCCCTCCCTGTGGCTGTTCACCCTGTGCGGGAACTGAGACTCAAAATGAGTGGCGCTGAGGTCAGGGCAGGAGTTTGGGGAGCAGCCCAGGAGATGGGAGGTGGGGCCTGGGGCACCCCCCTGCACAGGTGGCTGAGACATTTCTGTCGACTGCCATCACACGGGTGCTTCTGGGCAAGGAGTGAAAGAACCCACACAGCAAGGAGTCAGGCACGGAAGACAGCCTCTGGAGGGCCCCAGTTCTGTTTGGTTCTAGAGCCTGCAAAGCTACAGTGCCGGTGACTGCCTGTGAGGGATCTGGGGCGGGGGGATTGACCAAGGAACCCTTTGGAGGGATGGAAGTGATTACACAGGTATATACTGCTGTCAGAATTTTTGAGTTACCTCAAAAATGGGTATATTAGGTTGTTATGTAAGTTAGTCCTCAATGAAGCTCAGCTTTTTTTTTTTTTTTTTTTTTTTTTTTTGAGACGGAGACTCGCTCTTGCCCAGGCTGGAGTATGAGTACAGTGGCATGATTTCAGCTCACTGCAATCTCTACCTCCCGGGTTCAAGCGATTCTCCTGCCTCAGCCTCCCAAGTAGCTGGGATTACAGGCATGTACCACCATGCCTGGCTAGATTTTGTATTTTTAGTAGAGATGAGGTTTCACCATGTTGGCCAGGCTGGTCTTGAACTCCTGACCTTGGGTGAACCACCCACTTGGCCTCCCAAATTGCTGGGATTACAGATGTGAACCACCACGCCCAGCCTGAAGCTCAGTTTTCAAAAGTCCCCAAAACAGGGTGATTCCACTTAAAATTCTGCTTTTTCCCTTGAGTCAGGAGCTGTGACCCCAGAACCTGACGGCTGCTGCTTTCCCCGGCAGGGTCACCTGGGACCCTCTTCCACAGCTGCCTGGCATGTGGGTCTGCGGGTGGTGTGTCCCCCAGGTCGCCCTACCTGGCCAGTCTGCTCTCTAGGCTCATGGCCCCCGTTTATGTGGAGCTGGGACCAAGCCGACATCCCACCCTGCTCCTGTCCTGCTGCCCAGCAAACCTCTCCATCCCCAAGGGGCCACCCAGGGGGCCAGAGCCCCCTTCTCCAAGTCCCAGGTCCAGGGCTTCCTGCCACCCCACCCATGTTGTCCCTCTCTCGAAATGCCCCAGGCTGCCCCCAACCCCATCACTGGACAGGCTGAGTCAGCCTGGGCTGCCAGGATCCAAGCTTGCCCCTAAGGTGGGAGGCAGCCAGGGTGAGTAGGTGGAGCCCCTGGCCTCTGCCTGGCTCATCCAGGCACACCTTGATATTACTGACCTCTGACCTGCCCCTGCTGGGTCCTTGGCTTGCCTGGCTCTGAGTCAGGACTCAGGGCTGGGCAACCAGGGAGCAACAGAGGAACAGCCGGGGGCAGCGGTGGGAGAAGTGACCATCCCAGACTCAGCCAACCACAGCTACAGTGCCCTGAGGGAGCCCTGGGCCTGCGGAAGGGGTTGCTGTGTGCAGAAGCCTGTGGCTCCCCGCCAGCCAGCCCGACCTGGCCACAGCCTGGCATGGACTTCGGCCTCTGCCCCAAAGCCCTCAGAACAGGTGCCTTCCCAGGTTCCTTCTGCTGGAGCAGGCACCTCCTCCCCAACCTGCCCCAGGGAGCATCTTCGTGTGGAGTGGGGGGCCCAGGGGACCCCAGGCCCAGCTGTTTCGGCCACACCCACCAGGAGACACTGGCAAGCAGTTCTCCCCCAACAGCAGGGCCTCCTGGAAGGACGCCTCCTGAGGCTGGCCCTGGTTGAATTTCTGATGCTCTGAATTTGGTGAGGGTTTCCAGGCACCTCATGCGCCTGGGACCTTCCCAATTTAAGAGACAGACCCGAGGCTCAGGACAGAAGCCAGGGCCCAGCTCTTGCAGGGTGAGGCCTGGATGCCTCCTGCTGAGGCCAGGTCACCTTGGTGTGCCTGAGGGAGGCCCCGCCTGCCAGGCTGTCCCCAAGGTGCCAATCACTGGCCCATCCTGGCTATGCTGACTCATGGCTCTCCGAAGGCGGCAGCCGGATGTTACTTACCATGACAACCCAACAGCCTGGCCCAGCCCAGCCCAGGAGAAACGGGGCAGCTACAGCTGTGTCTAGGACCCCACTCAGGGCAGACCCACAGGTCACCCTTGTCGGGCTCCTCAAGAGGTCTGTGGTGTCCACCAAGTTTCCAAATCTCCCTAGGTCTCAATTTCTGTATCTGGGACATGGGGAGAAGTCTCACCTCCTCAGAACCCAGACCCTGGGCATGGCAGGGCTGCCCACACCAGCCCTCACCAGTGCCTGCCTGGCTGGTAGCTAGTTGGAGGAGGGAGGACAGTGCCTCACCGAGCAAGGCGGGTACAGGGTCAGGAGGACAAGAGGGAGCGCCTGGAGATGGGACTTCAGGCACAGGCGCTGGTCGGAGTTGCTAGGGTCTGCTGCCCCCCGCCTGGCGGCCGCCAGTGAGGGCCTGAGGCGATCCCTGGGTCTCAACCTGCCCCTTTTCAGCAGGTGCTGCCCTCCCCAAGGACCAGAACACCAAACCTTACATGGGGACCCTTCCTCGTCATCTGGGGGCTCCAGGCGTTCCTTGGCTTGCAGCCACTTCCCTCCGATCTCTGCCTCTGTCTCACGTGGCCTCCTCCCCTCATGCCTGCTTCTCGGCAGCTCTCCCTGGTGAGGCCCACCTGGGTAGTCCAGGGGAGGCTCCTGCTCTCAGGGGCCTTGCCTCTATCACACTCTAGCCACTAAGGTCATATTCACCCTTTTGCCATCAAAGGTCGTGAATTCATGGGTTTTGGGGAGTAGAACATGGATACGTCTTATTGGGGGCCACCATTCAGCCCACGAAAGGGGCCTTTCAAACAGACCAAAGCACATGAAAAGGGGAACAGACAGCTGCGCCAAAGGCCACGGACACCCAGAGAGATGGTTGCCCCCACCCCAGGAATAGAGAAATGTGTGGGAAGACAAGACCTCAGTTTTTGACCACCAGATTGTTTTTGGGGTTTTTGTTTGTCTTTGTTTTGGTTTGGTTTTTTGTTTGTTTTTTTGAGACAGGGTCTCACTCTATGGCCCAGGCTGGAGTGCAGTGGCACTTTCTCAGCTCGCTGCAACCTCCGACTCCCAGGGTGAAGCAATTCTCCTGCCTCAGCCTCCTGAGTAGCTGGGATTACAGGAGCATGCCACTGCACTAGGCTAATTTTTTCTATTCTTAGTAGAGACAGGGTTTCACCATCTGGGCCAGGCTGGTCTCAAATTCCTGAACTCAAGTAATCCACTCGCCTTGGCCTCCCAAAGTGCTGGATTACAGGCGTGACTCATTGCCCCC